TATGTGCGGAGGGTGAGTGCGGACTTAATTCTGGCAAAACCCAGCGGCGTGCAAATGCATGGCACTTTCAAACGTCCGCATTGCCTTTAGAGGTGTAGAGACCACCCCCCACCCTAAACCGCCTAAACCCGAAACCCTAAACCCGAAACCCTAAACCCTAAACCCCAAACCCCACACCCCAAACCCTAAACCCGAAACCCTAAACCCTAAAAGGTCCTTCTTGCGCCGGATGCCGATCTTGTGGAAGAGGTAGTTGTGCAACTCAAGCCTCAGTCGCCCAGTAACCATATTATCATACGGGCACCGTTTCTTTGGCTGGTTACTTTCTTGCCCTAAACCCTAAACCCTAAACCCTAAAGCCTGAACAAAAAAAGGGAAAAGGGTACCACTGGGCCACCAAGAAGCTCCCGTTGCGGCTCGACCCACTTGCCTGGACCAAGCAAAATAGCCGAGGGATGAAGATACAGCCGTTTGTTAGGGCTTAGGGCTTAGGGCTTAGGGCTTAGGGCTTAGGGCTTAGGGCTTAGGGCTTAGGGCTTAGGGCTTAGGGCTTAGGGCTTAGGGTTTAGGGCTTGGGGTTTAGGGTTTAGGGTTTGGGGTTTTAGGGTTTAGGGTTTGGGGTTTAGGGTATTTGGGAGCACCTCTTTCCAATCCTCATGTAATTCCAGACTCAAAAGCAAGCAGGGGAGCAGCAGGCCTCACCCACACACTGAGCCTGAACCCTCAGCCCCAAACCCTAATGCTGCTCGAGTTTAGGGTTTAGGGTTTAGGGTTTAGGGTGTAGGGTGTAGGGTTTAGGGTTTAGGGAGGGGGGTTCGCAGGTTCCTAGGGAACCTTAGGGAGCCTTAGGGAGTAGTAGCGAGTATTAGGGAACCTTGGGTAACCTACGCCTCTTGAACTCACCTCCCGCAAGAGCCCGATGAAAACCTCCACACCTCACACCCAAAGACCCCAAACCCCACACGCCAAACCCTAAACCCTAAACCCTAAACCCTAAACCCTAAACCCCAAACCCCAAGCCCCAAGCCCCAAACCCCAAATCCAAACCCTCAGCCCTAAGACTCTCCAAGCCCAGCCGCTTTTCCCGAACTCGTTCGACGTGCCCCTGGACAGTGAGCTGCTCGAGTTTAGGGTTTAGGGTTTAGGGTTTAGGGTTTAGGGTTTAGGGTTTAGGGTTTAGGGTTTAGGGTTTAAACCGTTTAGGATAAAACCCTATATAAACCCTGGATAGCCCACTAACCGCATTAGGATAAGGGTGCCCTTCTCGATGTTGGTTGCTTCTTAGAAAAGAAAAACGGCGCCACCTAAACCACCCCCAAACCCTTGACGCAGCGCCCGAGCCCTAAACACTCAACGCTCAACCCTCAACCCTAAACCCCTACAGCAAACCGCTGAACCCAAGCAAAGCGGCTTGGGATTACCCTAAGCCCTAAACCCTCAAACACCTAAACCCATAAACCCTCGAACCCCTAAACCCCCACACACCTAAACCCCGAACCCCCAAACCCCTAAACCCTACAGCACCTACAGCCCTAAACCCCTAAACCCCTAAACCTCAGGACTCATTGAAGCTGGGAGGGATCCTTCTCGGGAGCTGTGGCCAAAAGATGTCGTTGAAGAGGGCTGAGGTCTTGGGGGCTTCAGGGAGCCCTCGCACCTTCTACTATAGGGTTTGGGGTTAGGGTTTAGGGTTTAGGGTTTAGGGTTTAGGGTTTAGGGTTTAGGGTTGAGGGTTGAGGGTCGAGGGCTTAGGGCTAGGGCCGCGGCTTGAAATAGCGGTGGCCGAACGTAGGCGCGTCGGGGAGGCGCGGGTCAAGGAGACGAAGGAGTGGGAACCTTCGCTTCAGAAAACAGGGCAGGTTTAGGGTTTAGGGTTCCGGGTTTAGGGTTTAGGGTTCAGGGTTTAGGGTTACGGGTTTAGGGCTCAGGGTTTGAGTTTCGGAAAGAAGGCGGGGGTTTCCGAAAATACGGGACCCCTAAAATAGACCCGCAAGCAGTAGGACCAGCAGGAGTAGGATTGCTTGATAATAATCACCCCCATAAGGAACCCACCGTTTCAGAAACCCCTGGTTGATGTAGGGTTTAGGGTTTAGCCCTAAAATCTAAACTAGAACCTAAACACCCAAGCACCCCGGTGGGGCCCTAGCCGATAATTACCCTACACCCTAATGCCCTAAACCCCGGAGTAGCTGGCGAACTTGCGAAAAGCCTTCCTGTCGCAATGTCCGAACGTCGAGCTCTTCTGTTTCGGGCCGTTGGTTACCATTTTGCACATTTCAAGCACATCACGCACGGCGATAAAGCAACCCACATATGTACTGTAGCCTTGTAGTAGTTTAGGGTTGAGGGTTTAGGGTTTGGGGTTGGGGTGCGAACAAACCCATGGTTTATGACCTTGCCCAACATCTCATATCCTACGTATGCCATAGAGGTTTAGGGTTAGTGTTTAGGGTGCAGAGTGCGAACGAACCATGTGGTGATCTTGGCTTCAGTGGGTTGAGGTTCGAGGGGTCTAGCAGCCAACACATTTGAGGTTATTTACTGTTGCCTGAGGTGTAGACGCGGCCGTAACCCTAAAGACTAAGCCCTGAGAAGCCTAGACTCTGAGCGGGCGCCGCATGGATCATCAGCCAGAGAACTGCTTGGAAGGGTTCGCAGTACCCTGAGTAAGGTTACAACCAGTTGTGGCTCGAACTACTCTACTTATCATAGCCCCGGTTAAGAGTTCTGGGTTTAGGGTTTACGGTTCAGGGTTTAGGGTTTAGGGTTTAGGGTTTAGGGTACCCATGACCTCCCAAGTAACCACGTGCGAACAAGCCTCGAATGCGCCCCTGGAGAACTTTGGGGGGTGCCAGCGCCCTAACCGCCAAACCCTCCGACACGCAGCCCCCCCCCCCCCCCCCCCATAGCAGCGTTGGGTGAAGTCGAAACTTGAAACCCTGCGCCCTAAACTCTTAGGGCTTTGGGGCTTTAGAGTTCAGGGAGGCTGCTAGTGAGGGAAGCCTAGGCCCCACAGACACTGAACTCAAAACCCTAAACCCTAAACCCTTTTTGGGGGGCTCTGAAGATGGAGTGGCAACTCCATCGCGCTGTTGAGAACGGGCGTCCCGCTGATGAGGATCAGGTAGGTCGCAGCCTGCCATCCGGGGGGGCTTTAGGGTTTAGGGTTTGGGGTTTGGGGTTTGGGGTTTGGGGTTTGGGCTTGAGAGCTGTGGAGGCACTTGTCAAGTAGGGGCCCCAGAGATAGAAGTAGAGTTATTGGGGCTGTGGATTGGGTTATAAGCACAATCAATCAGGCTAAGAGGCCTATTGCTCTTATAGTAAAGGACTCCCCTCCTGGCAAATGAAGTTGCCGTTTAGGGTTTATGGTTTCGGGTTCAGAGTTTAGGGTTTATGGCTTTGTGGTAGCCAGGGTTTAGGGTTTAGGGTTTAGGGTTTAGGGTATAGGGTATAGGGCTTAGGAACTGGGGTGTGTTTGAAGAACCGATAAAACTGCGAAATATGTAGGTTATACGGGGTACAAGCTCGGCTGAGCCTAAACGAAACCCTAAACCCTAAACCCTAAACCCTAAACCCTAAACCCTAAACCCTAAACCCTAAACCCTAAACCCTAAACCCTGAACCGAAGGATCCCTACTTGGAGGTTCATGGGCACTTATAAGCAGGGTTGTAAGTCTCCTCAGCAAGGCTAGAACGTTTTGCAACTACTTTTGCCCTACTTCTATTACTTATGAGTGACCATGATCCTTCCAAGCCCTAAGCACTAAGGCCAATAAGCCCTGACCCTAAACCCTAAACCCTAAACCCTAATTGTAAGCCCCCTGGTCCTCCAAGGGCCCCAGAATAGAAGCCCTAGTCCCTAAGCCCTAAGCCCTAAACCCTAAACCCTAAACCCGAATTGTAAGCACGGAGCACATGATCCTTGCCTGCGCAACGGCATACACGGCGCGCGATCGCTTCGCCTCGGGATTCTTGACGTAGTGGCACCTCAGCGGCTAGGGTTTAGAGTTTAGGGTTTGGGGCGTAGGATTTAGGATTTAGGGTTTAGGGTTTGGGGTTTGGGGTTTGGGGTTTGGGGCTTGGGGTGTGGGGTGTGGGGCTTAGGGTTTAGGACTTGCAGGGTTTGTAAGCTTGATAGGGTTAAAGGGATTTGTTGTACGAGTGTGGCTTAACGGTTCTAGGGGTAGGGCTTTCGGGACTAAAGGGCTGATAGGGCTTATGTGCCGGGCGTTGGGGGTCTTTAGGGTCTTTAGGGTCTTTAGGGTCTTTAGGGTTTCTGGAGCCCTGAAACCAAATCGAGACCCCTCGACCGCGGCGCTCGTCGCAGACGACCAGCTTGTAGTTACGGCCCCGCGCGTCGCGCAAGAGGCTCCTCTGCCTCAAGCCACTCACCCCCCTTTTTTGCAGGCTTCTGCTTTGGGGCTTAGGGTACATACATATTATATATATATACATATATGTATATGTATGTATTCATATACTATTATACTATATATAACATCATCCCCGAAACCATTATGGGGGGCTTCAAAAGCCTGAAGGTCTTTGAGGCCTAAGGGGGGGCTCTCAGGCTCAAGAATTACCAAAAGCATCGGACTTGAGGGTTTCGGGTTTCGGGTTTCGGGTTTAGGGCTTAAGGTTTAGGGTTTCGGGTTTAGGGTTTAGTGTTTAGGGTAGGTATAACGGTATAAAGCCAGGCGCAAAGCTGTTTTGGGTGCTTAGGGCGTTTAGAGTGTCAAGGGTTTAGGGTTTCAAGCACTTGGTGCGATTCGGGAGAAAAGGTGTAACACAAAAACCAAAGACCCCCCCCTTGTGGCCCGCGCATGGATCAGGAAGTGGCATCTTGGTTGATGAGCAATCTTTGACCAAATAGAATACTTATCTACAAGTAAAACAGAATACAATCGAGCAGGACTTATCTAACGATCTCGCACTCTGCACGTAGATGCTGTTGATGCACACATTACATCCAACACCTGCTGGCCAGCTTTTTTAAGCCTTTAGAACTCGGCACTCTTCACGCCACACATGAAGGGATCGCTTCCCCGATCTTGCGGCGTCGGGGCTAAGAAGTAGTAGTAGGTCAAGGGTCTTGCAAAGCCCTTGCACTCGTGCAGCGAGGAGGCGGAAGACAAAGTAGGGCGGACGGTCTTCTCAGACAGAAGGGGCGCCTGCCCGGGCCGGGTGTCAAGGAGATCGCCGTCGAGGGGCGTGGGTTCACCCCTTCGCTTGAAGATGCGGCCGGAGAGCCTAGACTCCCCTTAGAACCTTAATAAAACAATATGTTTAATATCCTCCTGGGTTTTTATATAGAAAAGTAAAAATAAGTTCTCAAGGGGGATATAGGAGCAAGGAGAGCATGAAAGACATGGCGAGCCCCACGTAGATCCCGTCGGCGATCGAGAACAAGAACGGCTGGCAGATGATGCAGAGGAATGCAGGCAAAGCGTCAATGGGGTCGTCCCAGTTGATGTGCGCCGCCTCCGCGGCCATGCCACAGCCCACATAGACAAGCACGAAAGCAGAGGTGCAAGGCGGCATGGCTGACAACGTGGATGCAAGAGGCAGGCCAAGGACCAGAAAGAGGATACCTAGTTCATGGTTGGGATAATATTAAAAATCTAATTTGTTATTCGTTATTGGGTTCAAGTACCTTTACAAGTGTAAAATGTTACCCAACTAAGCTATGACAAAGATGCCACTGATGCACGTGCTCAGCCCGGTCTTTGCACCGTCCATGATGGCGGCAGCAGATGGAGGGTTGATGACCATCGGCGACACCCCGCAGGCAGCCGCAAGGACGGTGCCCAAACCCAGCGCCATGAACATGCCGTTGCCACCCTTCACCGACCCCGTCACCTCCTTGGTAGCCCAGCAACCTTATTCTAATAATGATACCGTTTGTTGGAGGTTGGTTACTTTACAAGGGAACCTTGAACCAAGATATTTTGCTCATAATAATGATGCCCTTTTTTGGGGGGTTGGTTACTTTACAAGGGATCCTTGAACCAAGAAAAGGGCCAAAAAAAGGGGGGGTGACTGGGCTGCCAAGCCTCATTGACCTGCCCAGCCAGCTTGGCCAGACCAAAGAGGAGGCCCATCGCATCCTTGGCAGCCCAGCTAACCCTAAACCCTAAACCCTAAACCCCTAAACCCTAAACCCTAAACCCTAAACCCTAAACCATAAACCCTAAACCCTAAACCAGAACCCCCCCAGAAAAAGGGGTAAAGGGTACCACTGGGGCCACCAAGCAGCGAAGACGAGCATCAGCACCAAGCTGATGGCCTCCATCCAGAAGTGGCTCTGGCTCAAGATGCCCACCTTGGGGGGGTTTAGGGTTTAGGGCTTAGGGCTTAGGGTTTAGGGTTTAGGGTTTAGGGTTTAGGGCTTAGGGTTTAGGGTTTAGGGTTTCGGGTTTAGGGTTTCGGGTTTCGGGTGTAGCTTAGGAGCAAAAAGGGTGCCCCTTTTGGGCTTCTGAAGATAAGGGAGCCTGAAGCCCCTTTAAAAAAAACCGGGAACAAGGGCCGAACTCTGGGTCCCCGAGGCGCTGTTGGAGAATGTAGGCTTGGGAGGCGCCGTGGGGAGACGGTCATCGCAGGCCAGCCGCGAAGAAAAGTCCAATCGAAGACGGTGAGCGCCACCTCAGCTGTCCAGTACCTAGAGGGAACTAAAGGTTAACCTTAGGGATTAAAAGGGGATTCTACTACCCCAAAAAGGTTATTAAAGGTTACCTACTCTACAACAAGGGCCACCATCGTCAGGAAGATGGCACCCTTCACGCGACGTGAGTTCAGCAGCGCGAGCAGCACCAATCCGGCGAGCGTCAGCAAAACCTGGGGATCTCGGACATTGCCAGCACCAACGAGCCCCTCGTCGCTTCCTAGGCTGCCCAGTAACCTAGGCTTAAAAAGGGTGCCCTTTTTTGCTTAAAGGGGTTTATAAGGGAACCTAAACCCCCAAAAAAGGGAATAAGGGCACTGCTGGGCATCCTAGCTTCTCACAACCATGCCAACCTGCTGTAGGCCGACGAAAGAACAGAGCAAGCCGATGCCCACGCAGATGGAGAGCTTCAGTGAGTTTGGCACCAAGTCGGTGATGAATGAGATGGTACCCGTGGCTGGCAAGACCATGATGATGACACCAGCTGCCATGCAGCACGTGAGCGCGGCGTCGTAGCTCCCAAGCCCACCCCTGCCCTGAGACAAGGCCAGAGTATATGCCACCACCAGGTTCGGACCCGCGCCGGCCGATGCAGTGATGGGCAAGTTGCTCATGAGCCCCACAAGCACGCAGCTCAGACAGCCGGCCCAAGCTCCACCGATGATCCCATCAGCCAGCGGTAGGCCTCCAACGTTCAGGACCGTGGCTGTGGCGACGAGGTTGAATATGTTTCCGAAGAAGTGCGTCACCCCCCCAAGCAGCTCAACGCCGAGGCTGCTGTTGCGCTTCCGTATTTCAAAGATGTACTCCAAGACCCCGGCCATCGTCGCAGTGTGTGTGAAGTCCCTATAGCCAACAGTAGCAGTTTAGAAGGATTGCCTGACAAAGCAGACTTGAGCAAACCCACAAGCAGGTTTACGGTGTAGCCTAAACCCTAAACCCTAAACCCTAAAACCCTAAACCCTAAACCCTAAACCCCGAACCTTAAACCCTAAACTATGTCACCCTGTGAAGATGAGAGGTGGCCAAATGCAAACGAGGGGGGGGTGATGGCTGTCACCTTTGAACAAGATGGTCTGCGGAGTCAGAGGCACTCAAGCTTAGGACAAGTCCCCTAAACCCTAAACCCTAAACCCTAAACCCTAAACCCTAAACCCTAAACCCTAAGCCCTAAACCCTAAACCCTAAACCTTGAACCTCAACCCCTAAACCCTAAACCCTAACAGAAACACCTGTAGTAGGCCGGGAAGCATGGCCAGCAGCGCGTAAGACACCACCACGCATTCTGCCTCTGGGTCCAGAGGCGTGCTGCCAGAGTAAATGACCTGCACCTCTGCAATCGGACTCTTCTTGTCTGTTGAGGGTTGAGGGTTGTGGGTTGCGGGTTGCGGGTTGAGGGTTGCGGGTTGAGGGTGAGGGTTGAGGGTTGAAGGTTGAGGGTTGAAACAAGGGCTTACAGTTCAGGGTTTCACGGGCCGGCAAACACCGGTTTCGTGCTTGGCTTGCTGCGCAAAAGCTCATGGCTCCTAACGTACGGGAGCCCTGTCGGCCAAATCGCAGTGACGCTCGGGCCGCTAGGGTTTCGGGTTTGGGTTCAGGGTTCAGGAGTTTAGGGTTGAGGCGTTTTAAGGTTTAGGGCCGCCCGCGACGAGAAGGTCGGGCTACAAAAGACAGGTACTATAGGGGGCCGTAATAATTAGAATTAGAACAGCGTTCTGGGGGTATCATACAACAAAGGGACCATAGGGGAATGTTGTTTGTAATTCTTCCGACCCCTATATTGGGGCCTTGCCAGCCCTAGTCGACGCCTAAATGTGCCCCTGCCTGCCTTATGCAAGACCCTTACGAAAATTCGCCCAGCGCTCCTCCACCCTAAACCCTAAACCCTGAACCCTGAACCCTGAACCCTAAACCCTAGACCCTGAACCCTCAACCCTATCGGAGGTTGGAGGTTGTGTTTTTGAGAGAACGCACGGCTTTGCAATGTCTGGGCTCTGTGGACAGTGGCGCTTTAGGAGTTTAGGGGTTTAGGGGTTCCCTAAACCCTAAACCCTAAACCCTAAACCCTAAACCCTAAACCGTTGAGGGGGCTTAGGGTTGAGGGATTATGAGGGACCTTGGCCGGGTCCACGCCGCCCCATCGCCGAAGTTGCTCCAGCCACACCTTGGGGCTGTTTAGGGTTTAGGGTTTAGGGTTTAGGGTTTAGGGTTTAGGGTCTAGGGTCTAGGGTCTAGGGTCTAGGGTCTAGGGTCTAGGGCTTAGGGTTTAGGGTATAGGGTATAGGGTATAGGGTATAGGGGTTAGGTTAGGGTTCATCTGGGCTTTTCCCATAATCGGGTTCCGCGTAGTATACCCCCCCCCCCCCCCCCCAACATGCTTTAACCCTTACCATAGGGACCACCGAAAAGACAGCCCATTTTCGGAAACGCCCACTTCGGGCCCAGCCTGGAGCACTTGGAGGTTCATGGGTACTTCTTGCTCAGGTTGTCAGTAGGGAGATTCCGAAACCTCATGGTTGCTATGTGTTAATGGCACTTCTCACCCCCACTTCACAAGTTTAACCTTTGGGATGGTAGGGCGCGGAAGGATGAAGGAACTCTTGGTTTGGACCGTGGGACCTCTAGCACTCCCCCTTGGTTGCTGACTTCCTCGGCCCGAACATAGGGTTGAGGGCCCGGGATTTAGGGTGACCTTCTCAGCCAACCATGATCCTAAGCACGGAGCAAACAGGTCTTGAAGCTTGCCGACCCAGCTACTAAGTCTAGTCTAGCAGGAAAACCTCCATCTCCCCCGAAACCCTAAACCCAAAACCCGAAACCCCAAACCCTAAACCCCAAACCCCAAACCGTAAACCCCAAACCCAGGGCGAGCTGCGCCGCGCAGGGAGCTTGGCGCCACCACCAGAACAGGGTCCCGACCCTGGAACTGACGGAGGATGCCGATGGCTTGCACCTGGGTTTTACACCCTCTGGAGGTTGGGAGAATCTATTCAAGGGGCCTCCGGAACGCCACATGACGGCCACTTTATAGCATGGTATCCTTTGCTTAAGTTTATATGCTTCAGGGTTTTCGTTTAGGGTTGAATCGAGAACGAGGGAAAACCTCAAGAACTGACCAACTCTCTTTCTTGACCCAAAATGCCTGTTTTCTTGCAAAATGGATGCTTAGGGCTTAAGGTTCAGGGTTCCCTAAACCCAAACCCTAAACCCTGCGCCCGATCAGCGCAGGAACCACTGGGCCACCAAGTTCTACCAGGTTACCAAGTACCCGAAAGGGACCCATATCGGGGTTATCGTGGGTTATGCCATCTCAAAAACCCTGCTTCATGACTGCTTACCAAGTCACTCCCAAACCCCAAGGCCCCAAGCCCTGAATCCCAACCCCAGAAACCCTAAACCCTAAACCCTCCTCCAAGCAGGGATTACCCTATCCCCACCCGTATCTGCAGTGACGAGTGGCCGTTTTCCCCAAGCCCATGTCGTCAGCCAGTAGGAGTCGGCCCCGCCGCCGGACGCCGAACCTGCAGAGGCAGGAGGTGAAGAGGTTCAGGGTTTAGGGCTTAGGGTTCAGGGTTTGGGGTTTGGGGTTAAGGGTTTGGGGTTTAGGGTTTAGGCTTTCTAGTTCATGGTTGGGATAATATTGAAAATTTCCTCGACTTAGGTTAAGGGTTTAGGGTTTAGGGTTAAGGGTTTAGGGTTAAGGGTTAGGGTTCGGAGTCTAGGATCTAGGGTTCAGGGTAGAGGGTTTAGGGTTCAGGTTCTATAGGGTCTAGGCTTAGTGTCCACCATCGGCCCCAGTTGACTCGGTGCTTTGATGGTTTGCACCGAGAGTTTGGAGTTGTTAGGGTTTTAAGGTTTCGGGCACTAGCGTTGCGGATCTCATACGGGAGCCTAAACTCTAAGTAACCAGGCACCATTCTCTTCTGCAAAACCCCTGTATAACTACTGCAACTACAATGGAACTGCAAACAAACTGACATTCTGATTGAAATCCCTAAACTGCCTGCTTTGCTGCAGAGGCCGCTCGAATCGGTTCTTCCCAAGCCCCCGCATCTAGAGGGCGTCAGGCTTTCATGTTGCCCTTGTGTTCTGGGGCTTGCGTTTAGGGCTTAGGGCTTAGGGTTTAGGGTTTAGGGTTTAGGGTTTAGGGTTTAGGGTTTAGGGTTTAGGGTTTAGGGTTTAGGGTTTAGGGTTTAGGGTTTAGGGTTTAGGGTTTAGGGTTTAGGGTTTAGGGTTTAAGGTTTAGGGTAGTTAAGCAAAGGAGGCAGCCGCGCGGCTCGATGCCGGCACGCTGGTACGGCAAGAGCTCCTGGGCAGAGCGCGCCCCCCACTCACCCTGAAGCCACAAACCCCTAAACCCTAAACCCTAAACCCTAAACCCTCAACCCTAAACCCTAAACCCTAAACCCTACACCCCGAGCCCCTTGAGCCCCTAAACCCTAAACCCGAAACCCGAAACCCTAATCCCTCAACCCTAAACCTAGACCCTGCATCCTAAACCCTAAATCCTAAACCCTAAAATCCTAAAGGCTTCGGGGGTTTCGGGCTGTGGTCCTTTCGACAGCTACATCCGAGGCCCTAAACTCGAAAGCGGCCTAGCAGTGCCTTTGCAATCTTAGTTAGGGTTTAGGGGGTTTAGGGTTCAGGGTTCAGGTTTTAGGGTTTAGGGCTTAGGGTTTAGGGTTTAGGGTTTTGGGTTTAGGGATGGAACAGAAAGTGAGCAGTAAGTACGATGCGATGCCCGCAGCTCCAGGTGTCGCCTTGCCGCGCAACGATGCATGAGACAGGTGCCATGTTCTCAAGTCCCAGGACCTCCTGCAGGTGGACGCATGAAGCGAGGGCGCAGTCCAGCAGGGATTCACGCGCAAGGCCGTCGCACACCAAGGGCAGTCCACAGTAAAACAGCACAGGCCCAAGTGCGATCCCATGGTGACATCTTCGTTGCTTGCACCGGGGGCACCTTCATTGCGAGCTCGCGACCACTTTTTTTTGGTGCACTCGGAACACAAGTCCACTCGCCCCTGCGTACGACCAGCAGGCACTGGTGGTCGGCATCGTGCCTGTGCGTGCTGTTTAGGGGTCTAGGGGTCTAGGGTTTAGGGTTTAGGGTCCCCAGAAGCAAGTGGGGAACGTGCATCGAAGAAGCAGCCTCCGAATAAGCCTCTGAAACTGAAACGCTAGTCCAAACCCCCCCCCCCCCCGCTGCTTGGGATTGAGGGCTTCACGGGTTGAGGGCTCAGGGTTCAGGGGTTTAAGGGCTTTGGGGTTTAGGGTTGAAGGGTTTAGGGTTTAGGGTTTAGGGTTTAGGGGTTGGGGCGGTTTGCGGGTTTAGGGTTTCGGGCTTGGGCATCTCGGGTCCTCAGAGACCGCCTCCTGGAAAAATGAAGGCTCCGGTGGCGGCTCCTAAATTGACATCACATGGCCCTTATAAGGGGCCTTAGGGGTTATTTAGGAACTATCTAAATACATAGGGACCCTTGCAAGGTTTTTACGGGGTTATATATGGGCTATTAAGGGAATAGGGTTAAGGGTCCCCTCCTTGTACCCCCCAAGCGGGCTGGGCCTTATAGCGTTTCATTCTATGCCAACACCAAAACCCTAGAACCCCAGAACCCAAACCCTGGAACCCTAACGAGGCTCCAAGAGCTCTTGAAGTCCTTAAGGTTTAGGGGTTTTGGGGGTTTAGGGTTTATAGGGGTCCTAGGGGGGTTTAGGGTTTAGGGTTTAGGGGTTTTGGGGGTTTAGGGTTTATAGGGGTCCTAGGGGGGGTTTAGGGTTTAGGGGTTTTGGGGGGCTTAGGCTTTAGGGTTTAGGGTCTAGGGTC